CTGGTGATAACAGCTCGGACAGCAACTGAAATTTACACACACACACACACACGCATATATATATATATATTGTATATTTATCTGTAAATGTGAGATGCAGCAGCTAGCAGAGATTATTCACGCCGCCAATAAATGCAACAACTGTGCGTCAAATTCCATTCGAACCAATGCCAATGCCAATGGCCGCCTCCTTAGCCTGCKTAGCCTCTGTGGACCCAGCGGATGCGATAAGGCTGGCGACACCTTTTACATACATTCGTGGGGGCACAGCAACATATGCATCTATAGCGTTTCATTGGTCCATTCACCTATTGCCAAAACGGAACTGGAACTGGGCGATAGAAGAAGCACCTGCATATATGAAGCCAGCTATCGGTTATCGTTATCGGCTGTCGGTGATCTCAGGTGGCCTAAACAATGCGATACAGAAGTACTGCCCATCGCTTAGGTCACTTAGCAACATTCTTGTTCACTGCTATGTCAGTTATCGATTATCGATTAACGCCGTCTGCTTGGGAGTTCTATAAAACCTTTTAAGCGTTAATTCAAGGCTTAATCATTTGTCAACTTTCCAAATTTGAAGATATATGTATTGCTAAAATATCGATTATCGATTATCATCTAACGGTTTTGGCACCTTGCTGTTGGTTGAAAAACTTCCATAAAGCCCACCGAGTGCAACCTCAAGGTGCATACTCTAGAAAACTCACAGCATATACTTTAGTCTCAGTTGCCTTGTAATCGGTTATCGGCTTATCGGGTTAAGGGCCGTGCTTTTGCCGCATTCCATTTCTTATGCTTGCACAGTAGTTGACTGTTTTTTAGTGCATCTCATAAATGACTTCGACTACGATAAGATAGGCTTCTCCAAAATTCACTTTTACTTGCTGGCAATGCTCGACTTGAAGCATACCCTGTACACAATATTGAGTTTTAGCTTGTGAGTTTTAATTTGTGGTCGACTTGCAGAATATCCTGTGCATGTTTAATGACAAAAATTAAAGATCTCTAGCCATAATACTCTTAGATTTATCCTTCGTCGGAAATTATCGATATAAATATGTGTTAATTCGTAAATATTGCCAATATATCTATATACATACATACATATGTTGTATATGAGTAGCTGTTCCTTCTATCACGCAGAATATAGTATTCCAGCGAAGTATAGCTCATCTTACCCCTTCTTTCTACTTTTAGCTCCAATGTATAAAGGGCATATACCATAAAAACTAACCGAAACAAATAATAAACGAAATGTGTTCATTCAAATCACATGCTTCAAAAACCACAACAGCTCATATAAAATATAACATTATATAGATTTTCATATATATGCTATGTATTTATATATATGTGTTCACATATGTATGTCATATATGTATGTATGTTTATTCATTTAGTTTGGGGTCTGAGGTCCGCTTAATCAGTGAAACCCAAAATAGAGCTAAAAGTAAAGCACGTGAGCTAAGTTTCAGTTGCGCTGATCGCTCAACGGCTACATATGTACCTATATACATATAATATATATTATTATTAATATGTATTATTATTCCAATATCCTGCATAGTCGAAATTCAATGGTTTTAAGAACAATGCCGAACGAACGTTACGTAAATAATGCAGTCAGAAGCAATTGGCAAAAGTTTAAAATCGAAATGTATTTAATTAAAATCAAATTAAATATAAATTTTCCATTCAAAGTGCATTGCATTTAAGCATTGTTTATTGATTGGATTATAGTAAATTTCGTTTTCCTCTTTAAAGTAGCTTGGAATTGTTGCTGTTGCTGTTGCTGTTGCTGCTGTTGTTGTCAATCAGTTGTCATTGTCATTTGCCGTTATGTTCCTGTGCAGTCAGCATGAAAAACAACTTCAAGCCATGCCATCTCGCGGCCCCTTTGACACGCCCACAGAAATAAAATTCATGCAAATTAGCTGACAAAACGCTGCAGTGCACAGATACACAAGCAAATATATCGATATGAATATACATATATGTATGTATGTGTGTAAGCACTTCTATGAGAGTGTAAATGTCTGTGTGTGTGTGTGTGCGCCTGACTATGCACTGAATAAACAACTGTAAAGTGTGCAGCCATATTGTTTTTGCATGCAAAAACACACTTACACGAACAATAACAAGAACAACAGCAACAACAACAACTACAACAAAAGGGAATAGGGAGAAGCAACAACAAAGCAGAACAGATGAAAACATGGCCGCCTAAAAGCAGGCAACCGCTCGCAGAAACTTGTGAATGGCACTGAGACAGGCCGACAGTGAAAGGCGGCAAAGGCAGCAGCCAGAAAGGGGGATCGGGCTGAGGGACAATGATGATGTGGAAGCTGGAAGGCTTAAGTCACACTAGCACACAGGTCAGTGGGGCCGTTTGCATTGTAGCCGCTTTCTATTTAACATGCACTTGTCCATTGTGCCGCATTAATAATGCAGGCAGCTGCATGGCACGATGCGGGCAGTGGGAAATCAGTGAGAGCAGCCGGCGCGTGGCATTGTCGCACCTGTTGAGGGAAACCCTGTGGCAATATGAGCAGCAGCAATAAGCCCTGGGATAAGCATCTGATTGCACATGTCCACACTGTGTGTGTGTGTGTGCGCTAGTGAGCTGAGCTAATTATGTGCATCTAATAAAAGGCTCCCATGCCCAGCCAGACGAAACGGGCAGCCGCTCTGCGGGCATAACCTTGACCAAGCCGTAGATGCAATACACATACAACTCTTTGGCTCAAATTCAATTTTTTACACTTTGCGCAAAATGTAGGCTATAAAGCAAATATCATTATTTTTAATACTAAAGCGGAAGCTTGAAAGCTGACATGTTTTGAGCCAGGGCTGCACACTCGCAAAGAAAGATCGGTTCGTATGAACTGCAGTTGCACTGCGGTTCATGAAACTGAATTTGAATATTCATCAATCCTGGTACTAAATTTAAATACAATTCAATTAAGGGGGGTTTTAAGATCCTTTTATATACATATTATCAAAAATTTTCTGATTTTGACAGCTCTCGTAGCCTTAAAATGTATTCTAAGCTTTTTCTTCGAGTGTGCACTAAACTGTCGACAATTGATACAAATTACTTTTTAACGAAGCTCCACTGTAACATGTCCTTTGTTTTTACTGTCGCACCGCACTGCACGTGGCGCATCTCGTGCCAGTCACTTGTGAATGCATGTGTATATATGAATTATATATAGATATATGTATATCTGTATATGTGTGTGTGTATGACAGGTGGTTATATCGATGCAACGCCGCCATTTGCATGCCTCGTGTGTGAATGTCTGTCAGTTGCTCGGTCTCGGTCTCGGTCTCCATCTCCGTCTCCGTCTCGGTCACGGTCTCTGTCTGTCACGTTTAACTTACATTTGGCTTGGTCGAATGGCAGGAGCCGCAGCGGGGAGGGAGAATGGGACGGAAGGTAGGCGCACGTGGGTCGATCTTTTCGACTGCAGGTCACGGACACCAGTGAAAACGTTGAAGCAAAATCCAATTTGCTCACGTAATTAATTTGAAGGCTCGCGCTAATTTGGATGACAACAAACAATTAGCCCATTTAACGCAATTTTGTCACGCACGCACATGCAAAAGTTCCACGCAGATGTTCCGAATTTCAAGCCGCTCGGTGCACCGGCCGTATTTCAATCCAATCCTTGCAGCGCGCCCGATTCACGTTTCACGGTTCGCGGCTCACGTTTTGTTTTTTTGCGCGAATGCGGACAGACAGGCGCACACGGCGGCTGACAATGCCGCATTGACCGACCGTGTGGCATTTGCGCAACGACCACCTGAGGATTCAGCGCCTACCATTACGTTCGTTCACCATTTGGCCACATAGCTTTCGCTAGTTTAAATCGAGCGCCGCTCGGAATCGTCAAAGCTTTGATTGCACGTTGCATACGCGTAAATGTGTAAATAGTTGAAAAGCTCATATGCAAAAGCTGTTATGCGAATGCCGTTATGGAAGAGAAACGGAGAAATATATTCTGTTTTAAAACTTGTATAAATTCGGTTTATTAGAACTTGAACTTTCGCTGGTATACAATGATGAGCATCGGACATATTGATGAACATCTAAGGTATTTTGTACATATGCATGTACGTACGTACGACTGTATGTGTGAGTATATGGTGTATGTGTGCTCCTTTGGCCCATTATAGCTCAGCAGTTACATTACTCGCCACCTCGGGCGCCGTCCTCCTCGTCAACGTCCACCCAGCCGTCATCGCTGAGCTCGGCTGCTGTATCGTTGTCATCGGCTACGGCCACCACGCTGGTGTCATCTTCCGTGGAACCGGAATTGGTGTTGCTGCTGCTGGTAACCACAGCTGTTGACCAGCCAGTTGTTGGCGGCATGTCGTCTATCTGCCGCTGGGTGACGGGTGTCTCGGAGGTCGACTCGCTGGTGGTAGATAGCGCTGTTTCGGTGGCTGTAGCCGTTGCAGATGATGGCCTGCCTGCATCAATAGCGGCTTTTATTTTGTTGCGCCTTCGTACAGATTCATATTCCTCCAAATCGGACAGCTTTAGCTGAATGCTTTGCAGCTCACGTTTCAGCATAGCTATTTACGAATAGTCTTTTTTGTCGCGCACCAGAAACAGTTAGATTGCTAGGCTGCCACCTTGCCAAAAGGTTTTAAAAGCGCGCGGCAGAGATGCCAGCTTTTCGATGGTCGATTGTCATCGGGCTGCGATAAAGAATTACAATTCGGAATTAACAAAAATATAAAGAAATTACGGCAAGCACAATCAAAATTATACATTTTTATTTTCTCTACTTTAAAAAATTAGTTTAAAATTAAAAAAAAAATTTTTTTTTTTTTTCAAATATAAATTTATGTAGACGATTCTTAAATTATCGACCGACCACCACAAATTCGCATGTGACGCCTAACGTCACAATTTCTGTTGATTTATTTTGGTTTTTATACAATTGGTTTGTTTTGGAAAGCAAACACAGGGTGAAGGAACGCGACGTGTTTTTGTTGCCGCTCTCTGGCTCTCGCTCGCGCTTTATCTCTCTCAGTCCCTTCAACTGAAGACAGTGGCTAGCTATTTGTTTAATAACACACCAATGCCGCCATCGAGTTGACTTTCGGCACTTGTTGTTGGGCTCTGTTGACTCGTTTTTTTCTTTCTTTTCGTTTTGTTATATTTTTTCGGTTTTTGTTCTCTTTCAATATTTTTGTTGTGCACCTAGCATCTGTGCTGCTGATCTGGCATTGCCCGCGGGAAGTGGCACGCTGAACGACGTTGTCTGATTCCTGATGAGCAGCAAACCGTTAGACAAGATGTACGGACGCACGATACGTATAAATCGAGTTCCAGCTGCCATAACGGCCATCCTGCTGACCATTGTGCTCGTCTACTTCCTCAACTACCACAAGGATGAGCGTCCCGCCATCTATGGTATGCTGCGCAGCGACAACAAAGTGAATCTGCGCAAAATGCTTATTGCGGCTATACAGGCGGCCCAGCGTGGTGGACTCGAGGTGCTGGATGTGGCGCATTCGCGGCAGCTCAAGGAGCGCAGTAAAGGCAAAACGGCTGAAGGCGTCAACGATCCATTTACGGATGCGGATGGCCGTTCGCATTGTGTGATGAAGCAGGGCTTGCAACGCCTCTTTCCACGTGTTCGCATCTTCTCCGAGGAGGACAAGGAGCAATGCAAAGATGCGAACAGCTTCGATCTAGATCGCACGGTACTTCCAGAGACGGCCGTTGTGCCCGATGTGGCAGTCACGGCGCAGGATGTAACCATTTGGGTAGATCCGCTGGATGCCACCAAAGAGTTTACAGGTACGAATGCTGATATGTTTGCCGGCAATCAAATCTTCACTCTTTGCTCTTCCAGAGGAGCTCTATGAGTACGTCACGACCATGGTGTGCGTTGCCGTCGCTGGTCGTCCAGTGATTGGTGTCATACATAATCCCTTCAGCGGTCAGACCGCCTGGGCGTGGGTTGGCCACAGCATGTCCGAATATCTGGATGAGTTGCGCAAGCTGCCACGCCTGAAATCGGATCAGCCCATCATCACGGTTTCTCGCTCGCATGCAGCCGCCGTAAAGGATGTGGCGCGCAATGTTTTCGGCGAGCAGGTTAGCTTGCTGACCGCTGCTGGTGCTGGCTACAAGGTGCTCCAAGTGGTGGCAAACAATGCTACCGCCTATCTGCATAGCTCCATCATCAAGAAGTGGGACATTTGTGCCGGCGAGGCCATACTGCGAGCCCTTGGCGGCACCATGACCACCCTCGATGACGAGCCAATCAACTACGGCCCCGACGATTCGCCGGTAAATAAAGGCGGCCTATTAGCCAGCTTGGAAAAGCATGAGGAGTACATGGAGCGCATCTCCAAATACCGCTCCATGCACAATGGCAAACTTAGATAATGAAGAAGTCATCGTCACCTGAATCTCCGAACTCCCTGCCGACAGCTGCTTAGTCTTAAGTTTTAGGTTAAAAGGAATCTGAAAACCGGTTTGTGCTTTGATTAGCTTTCATTTGAGCGGGGGTCATGAACCCGATTGCGTCAACGATAAATTAAAATAATTTTTTAATTTGTTTAGTTGTATAAAAATTAAATAAATGACTGATAAGCGATGTGCGGTTCACGATTTCGTTGTTGTCTGCCCAACAAATGTCAAATGTGATTTCTTTTAACAATATGTAGTGTAAAATATGTTAATTGATGTTCATTCATTCGCTTTGTCATACTGGCCGACACATACAACTCTAAAATAAACAAATAGCTATATTTAGAGAAAATGCACGCAGTTGCAGCTTTTATTTCGAAAAGAGGTCGATAATAAAATGATACACATTTTTTCAAATTGCGATCTATCGATTATTTTAGGCGCTCAGTGTTTGCTGACAGGGCTCGTGAGCCATTTATCTATTGCTTAAAATAAAAGGGAACTTAATATAGTTTTTTTTAAATCGTAAGCAAATTTAAATCTGATCTATACAAATTGTAAAAACTTAACAAATAAAAGAATTAATTTCAACATCGACGTTTACAAAAATGCATTTAGTGCTGCGTGCCAATCGTGTCACGCTCTGTAGCTCAGCTCTAACACAGACAGCTGTGCCCTGCAGCTGTCAGCTGTTTTTAAGTGCATGTTGACACTTGTGTTTAGATGTGTGAGTGTGGGCTGTGACGTACGCCGGCTGGGAGCAATGACCAGCTGCGTCACCGTCTGCAAGCGTGTCCATCACATTGAAGTCGAATGCCTTAAGGAGGCGGATAAGGTAGAATACAGTCTGCTGCTGATCAAGGGACGACTGCAGCCGATCTGTGCCAGCGCTCAGCAGCTGAAGGCGACGCTTGTGGTACATAATAGAGAGCAGGAACAGCTGACACAGCTTTCTGCCGCAAGTGAATTTAAGCTGCTCTTCGATTTGTCCCAAGAGAGTGCGACATCAGAATCAAGCTCAGGATCGGATTCAGTAAATTGTGAACTTCAGTTGCGCTGCTGCAGCGGGCAGCGTCAGCTACAGTTCATCTATCAGCCAAGGAGGAGCGCCTATCGAGTGCAGCCGCTGTACTTGGTGTGCCGCAACAGCGAGAAGGAGCCGAAGGACGAGGTAGAGCAGGAGCAGGAGACAAAGCGGCGCTGTGATTTAATTGATCTCAATTTACGTCTGGTGCAGTGCATCTATGCTCACAAACTTAGCGCTGCCGGCTATACAAATCGCACATTTACTTTGAACGGTGCCTGTCGTGTCTTTCGCTCGCAGTTGAGCTGCCAGGAGGCGCGCCAGTGCAGCGAGGACGAGCTCTGGCAGAGATTCGCCAGCGAGATACTCGCCTCCCCCGACTGGGGACAGCAACTCCAGCTGAAATTCGTCGCCTTTATAGGCTGCACATGGTACGACGGCGCCGCAGTTGCAGCTAGCGGAGATTACTCGTACGCGAACATCCGGCGGCACTTGTATGCTCACGCCGCTCTGGGCGGCGGTGGATTGGCGCTCTTTGGCAGCGGACATTTCTATGCGTGGCCGCAAAGCTTCGCCGACATTGGCGACTGCATTCGGAGCACTGAGCGCGTGGATGTGACTCGCCTGCCCGACGAGAGCAACTATCGGCACACCTACGGCGGCGTCTATGCCAGCACCCTGGGCGCCGTCTGTCACGAATTGGGCCACTGCTTCGACCTAGGACACACCCTTGAGGGTGTCATGGGCCACGGCTTCGATTACCTGAATCGCGTGCTAACCGTTGATCAGCCCACAGAGCACTTGCCACAGCGTATGGTGTCCACGCCACCAGCAGCAGCAGCAACAGCTGAGCCAACCACATCGCTGCCTCGACCACGTTTCACGCAGCTAAAGATTAATCAGCCGGCGAGCAGCAAATTCCTGGATAACTATCACGCTCAGCGACGCAACGATAGCTTCTACTTTGCCCACAATTGTGCAATTGTTCTAGCCCATCATCGTTGGCTGCAGCCCGATCTGGAGGCTAGCACCTCGGCGCCGCCGGAGGTTCAGCTGCTGGTAGCTAGCAAGGAAATTGTTTCCAGTGTGGCGCTGCGTCTCCTCGAGCTGCGCTGCAATCGCAACAGTCTGGCTGCACACTACGAGGAGTTCAAGCCGGAGCCAGCCACTCATCGCTTCCGGCTGCCCGACGCGCTCTGGCATCTGCTGGCTACGCAGAGGACGCACTACGTCTTTGTGCTGACCATTGAAGGGGATACCAAGCGTCTGGCCTTTGACGAGACGCCAGCAGCGGAGAAACCACAAGAGGAGCAGTGAAAAGAGAAGACGGCAGAGCTGTCAGCAGATTAACTAAACGAAGAGCCAGTAAAGGAGTTGAAAGAGGAGATTCAAGGAGATAGAGGTGTAGCTAAAAGAGAAGTCAGAAGAGAAGACTGAGGAGCAGCCAGAAGAAAAGACTGGAGAAGAGTCCAAAGGGGATTCTGTAGAAGATTAAGCAGACGTAAGGCCAAAGGAAACAGAAGCAAAACCCGCTTCCAAAGCAATCTAATAGAAAATAAAAAAAATTCAATTAAAAATATATTTTAAATGAGGTAAGTTTTAATTAATTTCTTATTTAAGATTATATTCTCAATTCAAGAAAGAGGTAGATAAAATATTTACATATACCATTATTTGATGAAAAATGTTAAAAGTCAAATGTAATGTCTAAAAAGAAAAAATCAGCTGTATATAAGTCCAGCTTCAGAATGATGAAAGATGTACATAAACATATATCATTTTCGGATTATTTATAGGGAATACAAAGAGCAGCTCACAGATTTAGCTGTAGAACTGAAGATACAGACCCGATTAGCTACGCTCTAGTAGCCTTAACCCTCAAGCTCTTAACGCTTAATCAAAAAGTAACACAAATTATGTATAGAGCCCATATACTCTATTTACTAAGTCAACAAGTATAGAAATGATTATTTGATAGATAAATAAATGATATTCAATGAGTCGTAAACGACGGAGTCATAGCCAGAGCCCAAAAGCTGTCCTGCCCCAATAATAGTTAAGGTTCAATTGTAATATGATTCATTGAGGAACATACATATCTCGCCCATATAATAGGAATCACGCGAATATTGACGATTCACTTTGGGGGAGCTATTGACTGAACACGCACAAGAACTGTAAGTGGCTCCATGTGTCTGCTAAAAGAGCTCAAATCGTAAGAGAGCGACGAACTGAATCAGAATTTGAGACAGGTTTATTTGGCAGAGAGGAAAAGAGCGCGAGAGAGGGACACAAAGAGAGAGAGGGAGAGAATGAGTGGGCACAAGAGCTTTAAGACTCTCGCCACGATTGTTGCCTAAGTCAAGTGGGTTAAAGCTGCTGCGTTGTCAGCAGTGCGGCACAGTGGGGCAAACACTGTCGAATAGCGCGCGATTCATACAATGTAAGCTAGTTGTTAAGAAACAAGAAGAAAATGCATTTATTAAGCAGAATTATATATAGAGAATGTCATTATTCAAGAGAAGTGGCAGCAGCTATCAGGGCAGAAGATGTATTTCTATGATAATTATCAAAAAGATCTCTACATACAATATAACAAATCTATAATACAGAAAGAATATATATAAAAAAATATATAAAAAATAAAACAGAAGAGATGCGTAACAAATTCACTATATTGCATTCAAATGAACTAGTGAACTAGTTCATGAGCTTGGATAAACGATTGGAAATACCGTGTTATTCCATTGACAGATTTCAGTACTGGTTCAACTGAACTATACATCTATAGTCCACAAGAAATAGAATCGTCTAGAGCTGAACTAGTTGAGCAAATTGAATCAATTGAACTAATTAAACTATTTGTAAGACCGCAGCTGCAGAAGCTACTAAAAATACTTGAGCWGCATATTGATAATACATTTTAGATATTTAAATATACATACATTTGTATATATATGCATATATATAAAATGAATTTAACCCACTTGATTAATAATTCAATATTTTTATATGAATCATTTATTTGGCTTATCGTATATATTATTATTAATATTACTTATCTTGTATACATATAACTTGAGCTAAATTAACAAATGACTCATTAAAAAAA